CACACACACACACACACATACATACACACACTAAATAAATGTAAAAAAAAAAATTTTTTTTTTTACATTTATTCAGTAAGGGGCTTACTACATAGCTCTGACTCAGTGGTTTTCCTGTTTTCAGCTTCCCGGGCACTGGGATTACAGACATATGCCACCATGTGCAGTGTTGGTGGCTGGTTCAGTGTGCCCGGGGGTGGCAACTGGTGCTGGGGATTGAATCCAGGTCCTTGCACTTGCCTAAGCAGGCGCTTAGTCCACTGAGCTATCTCGCCAGCCCACCACTGAGCTTTATTCGCAGCACCTTGTCAACCAGATCTTTAAGTTTGTTGCAATTTTGCCTTTCATTGTTGGTGTGCATGTATAAATATTTCACAGTGATTTTTTTCCAGACTGGGGATTGATGCCAGTGCATTCACAATAAGCTTTGTCCCCAGCCCATTTTATTTTTTACTTTGAGACAAGTTCTCACTGAGTCATGAAGTTACCCAGGCTGGGCTGGAATTTTTGAGCTTCCTGCCTCAACCTCCATAACCAAGGATTACGTGGATCTACTACCATGCTCTGCTTGGTCACTCTCTAAGACACACTGTGGGTGGGATTGTATTCCAAAAGGTGCGGAGGACTTCTCTCCAGTCTATCTGGAGTAACTGATCTGGAGTTGGTGGCTGGCTGAGTTTCCAGAAGGAGGGACCTGGGAGCCACTCTTGGTTTACTGTCCATCTTTCAGATCTTGGACTCAGGTATCCTTTCATCAAAGAAAACTTCTTGATACTCAATTTAAAGCAGCCCATATTTCCCTGAAAATAAGTTGTAGTCTTATATTACTTTTTGCCCCAAAACATGCAACAAGGCTTATTTTCAGAGGATGTCTTATTTTTTTCATGTATAACACTCTACATTTATTCATGTATGAAAATCTACATTTATTCAAATGCAGTCATGTCATTTTCCTCTGGAACGAAATCGTAACTCTGCAAACCCCAAATTCTGGACTCAAATTTCTTGCAACTCCATTTCCTATATCATTAGCCCTCATCTCTCATGCACAGCAATAGAGCTCACCTAAATGGCACTGCTTGTCCATGTAGCCTGCTCGCAGT